GGATAAACGCACGGCAGACCTCAGGCCCGGATAAACGCCCGGCAGACCTCAGGCCCGGATAAACGCACGGCAGACCTCAGGCCCGGATAAACGCACGGCAGACCTCAGGCCCGGATAAACGCACGGCAGACCTCAGGCCCGGATAAACGCACGGCAGACCTCAGACCAGAATAAACCCACGGCAGACCTCAGGCCAGGATAAATGCCCGGCCCGGATCTGACCTCGGGAACTTGGGAGCTAAAGCCAGTCAGTCCGCTCATGTAGGGTCTCCGCCTTTTCTTCAAGCAAAACCCGAACTCTCTAGCGACATGCGGACATTTGTTTGGGGAGAATGATTTGCGGCTTTTCATATGTAAATATCACAGGTGAGACTATTTTCAGTGGGGTGGGCGGGGTCAGTAGCCCCGATCTTAATTTTGGTTGCTGCACCCTTGGTCCTCAGCTGGCAATGACCGGACTCTGCGGAATAAAAGTCATGGAATCCATTAGAATGACGTGGAAAGGTCACCGGTGGAGAAAGCGACATCTCCGAAATGAGGGAAATGTTCCGGCTCCGTAAGTGGGGAATCTTCTTACCTCCTCTGCTGCCAGTCCCAGCAATGTCTCCTCTCTACTTCCTCCCGACTCACCTCACAGCTAGAACTTCCTATTTATACGTGACGTCACTTCCCGTCTGCACCTGACATCACTTCCTGTTTTCCATAGAGACTCCCTGTCTGGGTCAAATTGAGATCACCACCTGGTGGAGCTCGGAGGAACTGCAGCCCCCCCGAACAAAAACCCGCCTCGTAGTGTAGTAGTGTGCATGTTCCGTACATCCTCAGGCCCGGTTCACGCTGAGCGTTTCACATTTTTGGATTACGGGGGTGGATCCATTTTGGGGAGGGGGAACCCCCTTCCTCTCCCGGCCATTGTTCAGTGTTCAGCGCCGAGGTACCTTTTTTTTGTTGTTGTTAAACTTTCAATAGTTTTTGAAGTTTTTGAAGTAGTTTTTTAACTTTATTGAAGTCAAGTGAAGCGTACATAACAAAACGCATATAACATAACCAACTTAACATCCAGGATACAGCATGCTTCGCAATATAATTTCCATTTGTAGGGAGGTGAGGAGGAAGGGAGGATGACAAAACAAGTGGAAAGAGAGGAGGGGAGGAAGGAGGGAAGACAAGGTATGGACCAGTTATGGGTCGGGCAATATTAGAGATCAAACAATGCAGTAGGGATGTACAATCCATTTTCTCCAAGCTGAGAGGAATTTAGGATATGAGTTATTTTTCACGGCAAACATCTTTTCATAGGAATATTGGGTGTTAAAGGAGAAGTACGGGGGGAGGGGCTTTTCCCCATAGTTCTCCTCAGGGTCGGGGGAGGGACACAAACTAGCGTCCTCCCGTCACCCTAGGCTCGGTATATAGGGAGCTGCAGCTCTGAGACGCCGCAGCCGGAGCGGATCCCGACGTAGATGTCTGGATCCGCCCAGCTGCGTGAGTGACAGCTGGCTCCGCCTATCTAGAGGCTGTACCCGCCCCCCTCCCCGCCTAGGATGGGGGGGGGGAAAAAGCCCACCCCCCCCCCCTGCCGCGGCAGAGAGCCGCCACAGGATCGAGAGGCGAGCGAACGCCGGTATGTGTTCCCGATCTACCGAGCCGACCCGTGACTCATTGTCGCAGGTCGGCTTAGAACTACGAGGTGAGTGACAAGCCCCTCCCCCTCCCCCTCGTAGTTCTCCTTTAACTAATGAAATCAGGTCAATGATGTTTAGGAGGAGTTGTTTGTAACCCTCGACGGGTAATCGACAATTTAGCTGCCCAGAGAATATGCTGCCGGTGGGAAAATATCAATATGCAGTAGGGCGAGTTCTGGGGATGGAGAGAGAGGCGAGGGGGGAAAAAATGGGAGGTGATACGGAAGACTCCATTCCGGAACACACACGGGGTGGGGCCTGCAGTGCCAAAAGATGTGAGAAATTGAACCAATGCAGCCGCACAGTCTCCAGCAAAGTGGTGAATTGGAGGCAGAGAATTCGGAGAACTTGCAAGGGGCGCGATACCACCTACGGATAATTATTTGGGAAAGTTCCCAATGGTTAGAGCAGACGGGATGCCCCCCCCCCGTCGTGCCATGCTTGAAGCGCCGGTTTCCATTGGGTATCCGAGAAGGAGGTACCAAGTTCCTGTTCCCATTTGATCACGGGAGAGGTTTTTTTTGAAAATGATTATAGAGACCCAAGAGGGCACAGAATGTAGAGATACCTCCTTTGATAGGGGTGGAGCTAAAGACGAATTTATGGGGGTTGGCATCAATTGGTATGGTTAGTGGTATTGAACGCGAAGTCAGGAGATGTGACGCCTGTAGATATCGGTGTGTTCCACGTTTGGGGGGAGGTTATATTGCTCGCACAGGGTAGGCATAGATTTAAGCGTTTTCTGAATACAAAGGT